GGAATTTCATTCAATAACTCTTCTTCATCATGAGCAATCTTCCAACACACTCCTATTTTGCACCTGTCACTGCTGTTACTCACAAACAACAAAAAAGCTCTGAAAATTCTCTTCACGCACAAATCCCTCAAAATATTCGTACCACAGATTACATGCACAATTTTAACAAATCACGCACCTATCATCCTCGTTCAGCACAAACGAATAATTTTTATCCATGCTTAATCTGTCAACGATCAAATCATCGTACTATCGACTGCTATCATAGACAACCACGTGGCTGCTACAAATGTGGTAAACAAAACCATAATATTCATGATTGTTCCCAGGTTTTTCAATAACTGGGACTCAAGATGGCGGAGAACTCAGTAATACTATGCCATCATCCTCACCATCCTCAACCCCTTTTTTTATTCGTGCTCAAATCAATCAAACCTCTCATAACATTCTCCTGGACACTGGCTCTAGTATCACTATTATCCATGATCAATTTTTACAACGCATCCATCACAATACGTTTGAACCTTCACAAAACTCTTATATCTCGGCTAATTGTACCACAATCAACATAATCGGTACAGTTCAACTTAAAATAAAAATTAATGGCCTCTCCACTTTTGTAACGGCTTCTGTTGCTTCGAGTCTCGTCACTGATGTCTTAGTAGGCACCGACTGGATCAATCAATATGTTCTACATATGGATATCTCAACACGACGTTTAACCTTGCAAGATACTACAGGTCAAACTACCATCACTTCACTCATTCAATCGAACAATACATCATGTTGTACAGTCCGACTACTCGATCAAATTACTATTCCACCACATTCCGAATCTGTTATCAAAGCCACAATACATCTTCCAGATAGTTCAAATTTGTTGTTTGAACCGTCTTCCAGTTTTAGTCAAAAAGCAGTAGTACTTCCAACAGCTTTAATCAAGGTGACTAATTCTCAAACACACTTAACTATTATCAATACCACCAATCATCCCTATATTTTACCTTCAAATACGTGTCTCGGTACTGTTTCTTCATCATTACTCATATGTGCAACAACATCACCATACCAATCTCCGTCGACACAATCTCGATCACCAAAAATTCGTCATTATTCTTCGAATTCGTCACATAAATGCTACGTCTGTCATCAGAAATTTTTATCACAAAACAATCTTTTTCATCATCTTCGTGTACAATGCTATCCACGAGAATTACGACATCAAATTGAAACATTAACACAACACATCGACTCCACCTCGCATCGCAAAAAAATTCAAGATGTCCTTTGGAAATACGGTAAACTGTTTGATCTACATCAACCATCAAAAATCGATATCGTTCTCGATCATGTGATCGATACCGGTCAACATCGACCAATCTATACTCCACCTTATCGACGTTCACCTCACGATCATCAAACTATTACCGAAGAAACAGACAAACTGTTAAAACAAGATAGTATCGAGCCATCAACATCATCTTGGTGCTCACCTGTCGTATTAGTGCGTAAGAAAGATGGTACTACACGATTTTGCGTTGATTATCGAAAACTAAATGATATTACTGTCAAAGATTCATTTTCCGTTACCTCGCATCGATGATATTTTCGATCAACTGTCTCAATCCACATATTTCACTACATTAGACTTTAAAAACGGCTATTTTCAAATTCCATTAGCAATTCATGATCGTCCTAAAACGGCATTTTCCACGCGCGATAATCATTATCAATTCAAAGTCCTTCCTCAAGGTGTAAAAAATGGTCCACCTACATTCCAACGCATCGTAAACCAAATTTTAGGTCCTGCTCGATGGAAACATTGTCTAGCGTATCTAGATGATGTAGTCATTTTTTCGAGCACTTTTGACGATCATGTTTCTCATTTGGATGAAATCTTTAATTTACTTCACACACACAATTTTCGTCTAAGCTTCGAGAAATGTACCATCGCTACTGATAGCATCAATTATCTGGGTCTTCACATTTGTCGTGGAGAAATTCGTCCAAATAATGATAATATACGAGGTCTGTTGGAAACTCCAACGCCAACAACATCAAAAGAGATTTTTCGTTTTTTAAAAGACGCCGAATACTACCGTAAATTCATCCCCAACTTTTCTCGTATTGCTAGTCCTTTATATAAATATAATCCTTCCAACTCTAAACATCCATCCAATGCTAAACCTACAATTTTCATATTATCGGCTGATGAACAAGCTGCTTTCGAGCAAATCAAACACATTCTCACTACCGACCTTGTTCTTCGACTCCCCAATAATGCGCTTCCTTTTAAAATACAAACAGATGCTTCACAACTTGGTATCGGTGCTGTTCTATTACAAGCCTATCCTGAAGGTGATCGTCCTATATGCTATATGTCTAAGAAACTTACACCTGCTCAACAACGCTGGTCTCCTATTGAACAGGAGTGTTATGCAATCGTCAAAGCTGTTGAATTGTGGCGTCCCTATTTACACGGTAATCATTTCATCTTAGAATCTGATCATAAACCATTAGAAGCACTCATGCGTAAATCTCAAATAAACGACAAATGTGAACGATGGCGTTTACGGCTACAATCATACAACTTCACAATAAAACACATCAAAGGTAAATCAAACACCATGCCTGATTATCTATCTCGATCACCAGTGGATCACGCTGAAGATGACCTTGACGATAAAGTTATGCCAACTTTTGTCTCTATTAGTACTCAAACTGATACAAGTGATCACGACACTTTTCCAACATCATCAATTGTTGGCATGGTCACTACTCGTTCTCGTTCTTGTCAATTACCACAATCCGATAATCATATTACCACTCCACCAAATACCAATCGTTCTGACGTTCAAGATTCTCAATCAGCGTCATCAACTTCTACAACTACTACATATAATTCACGCATCGGATATACTGGTGATATTGATCAATTGAAACAAGCACAACAGAAGGACCCTGATCTACAATACATAACGCATCATCTTAATGATAATAAGTATATTAACTCTTATCTTTTACAAGATGGTCTCTTAATGCATTATGAACAACACTCAAAACCTGTTCCATGTGTTCCAAAAGGAGAAATTCGAAATGATATTATGAAAATCTATCATGATACTCAAGCTAACGGCGCACACTTCGGTCGTGACAAAACTATAATGAAAATCAAAGCTCGATACTATTGGAATACCATGAACAGCGATATAACTAATTATGTTAAGTCATGTATTCGTTGTAATCAAAATAATCCTATTCGCTACAAACCTCCTGGTCATTTGAAACCAATCGAACCACCGGAAGGAGTTTGGCACTTATTATCAATGGACTTTCACGGACCAATTACTCCTACTAGTCGACGTGGCAACAAATACATTATTTCAATCACTGACATTCTCTCCAAATTCGTTATTGCAAAAGCAGTTCGTGATTGTACTGCTGATACTGCTGCTCGATTTCTTCAAGAAGAGGTTATCTGTAAATACGGCACACCGAAATGCGTTCTTACAGATAATGGTACTCATTTTACATCAACTATGATGGAACATCTACTCAAACGTCTCGGTATCACTCATTTGTACGCAACACCATATCATCCTCAAACTAATGGTCAAATTGAGCGTTTCAATAGCACGATGGATGCAAAAATTGCTGCCTTATCTAATCAAAATCGATCTGATTGGGATGATAACCTTCCATTTGTCATCTTTAATTATAACACAAGTTATCATTCCACTACTAAAACTATTCCATTCGAACTTATGTATGGACGTTCACCTGTTCTACCATTCGATCTACAAAACCCAAACGTTTCCCTCCAACAGTCATCTCACTACTCTCAGAACATGCGTCAATGCATATCACATCTAACGAACAATGCGAAAACAAATATCATTCATGCACAACATCAATACAAATCTAGATATGATACCAATCGCTCAAATCCTACATATTCCATCAACGATTTAGTTCTTATAAAAAATATTCATTCACGCCACAAATTTGATATTCGATATGAAGGTCCATTTCGGATTATACGTCGTCTTGGTGTTAAAACATATCTTGTTCAACATGTGAAACTACTTGCTTTGACAAGACAAGTAACAGTTGATCTACTTATTCCGGTCTCAATTAGATAGTTATCTATCAACGATCCATTACTTATGTTTCATTTTCAACCGTTCAATACATGTTATCAAATACATTCAGTATGTTTTTTTTATATATACATTCCGTCACTCATCATACACTTTCCTACTATTGTGATCTGCATTCTTCGCCTCTGCCATTTTTGTCGAACGCCTCCCTTCATCATCGCCTTATATCTCTTCACACTTTTCTTCATCCATCATCTATTTCTCACTTCTATACATCTTCATTTTCTACTAAACATGCTCCATTTCATCGCTATTTCCTTCAACCTTATTTTTTCATGACTTGCGATTCTTCCCAAAAATCGAGTCAAACGATTTCTTAATGCTGAAATTCACCAACGCATATCCGTCTTAGAACAGTCTCACAGTACTCATCGTGATCAGACAAACAACATATTCATTGGAAGTGCTGTTACGATTGGTATCGTCATCATTATTCTCCTCGCAATTGTATTCTTCATATATCGCCGCCTTCGTCGATCTATGCGTCATCGTCAACCTCTCGCTCTTCAAGCACTTGAAGCATCTGGCCTTAATCAACTTCATCCGATGGGCAACATACTTATGAGTACCCTTCGTCGTCTCGACACTTTAGAACAGGCTACTCAACCGCCTGCTATACGTTATGCATCTTCACCTGCTTTACCATCTCTCAAATTTTAAAGGTACTTACAACCAACTTCGTTTTATTCCTTCTTCTTTTATTTGTAATAACACTACTATATTATCGTTTCTTTCGTATTATCATTTTGCGTACACACATATTTTTGCTCTCGATTATATATTCTGATTCTATCAATTTTTTTTCTCTCTTTCTTCTGCATCATTATACTGCTGCATCTTTTCTCTTTTTTCCCACTTATCTTCTAATCAGTTTGTTTCACTTTTGCTGGTGTTCGTTTTCATGTGCGTGGACACACATTTCTGTCGGTGGGGAGGTATGTTACAGTCAAATGTATCACTCCTTGACTCATCGGTATTTGTTTATTCATTTCGCATTCTTTGATGCTTTATTTCTCTCTATATATCACTCCCTATACTCGCTTGAAGGGAAGATTAATCTGGAAATAAAACAGACATCAAGAAGGAACCGGGGTAGTCTTAATACTCAGCAATAAGTAATAAGTGATGGTATTATTACTTATTACCAGTAATAGTAATGTGCCACCCCTAATGGTATTCAACCTTCACATATGACTCACTCATATATTATAGATTATCATTACCTTTATACTCTTGTGGCTTTGTCTTTACTCTATTGTTCTCGTCTATTTGCTTCTCCTTGACCTCATCTCCTTTCTTTTCATCCACTATTCCTCTACTTGCATATATAAGCATGTGTTTTGTATGCAAACGATTGGATTTTATGATATGAAGGAATAGAATAAAGTGTATGGCCACCCATATTAGCATCTCTTCTATCAGAAATCGTCACAGGATTCAACCGAGATTACGTAAAATTTCCATGGTTGATAACAAGTAACATTTTGAACGACTGACACTTTCAATCTGTTCAAATGATCATCAAAACTCTTAGATGACGAAGAAACCATTTGTTTACATCTCTTTTCGTTCTAATAGAAAATCAATAGTTTATAATAGCACGATGATTTGTATGTTTATTAGAGAAAGATATTTAAATGGATGATTGTCTTTTCAAAACTATGGATTTCTCTATATTTTGAGAAAATCTCGGTCCTTAATTATAAACCTATGACCAAAATTAAATATTATTTACCGTGAGTTGGCTTCTCCAATTCCATTTAACATTGTCAGAATTCGAAGTTATCAGTAATTGCTTTTCTCCGCATTGGTTGTCGAACATGACAAATTTTGATATTTATTTCTTTGATTAAATGGAAATTTACAAAATATTTTTTCTTCTACTGTTTTGTAAAGCTCTACAATGAAAAATTCAATACTTATTTGACTCGATTATGTGTGCAGTCCATTTACTATTTATAAATTGCATGATATTGGAAAAAATCCAAACGGTTCTTTTTTTTGGAACAAACCAAGGAATTTGTGTTACAGTAACAGTAACGAAGTCTAATATATCAAAAAATAAATATTTAGAAAAGATGTGATTCAAAGTTCGCTGATAAAAGCATTATTCATATCTCACTCTTTGTACCCGTAGAAGTGTGTATGCTCTTCGCCGAAACAGGCGATATCGAAAACATTTTTTAGCCAAGTGGAGCACTTCAAAGGTGAGGATGAGGGAAAAATGAATAGATCTCGTTATGCTTAACAATTCTATGCAATAATTAAAGGGCCCGCAGTGGTCTTCAGCATGCTTGAGCCTTTCTATGAAACCCTTTTCGGCGAAGAGGCATACAACCTCATTATCTTTCGGCGAATGGTTGACTCTTGAATGATAGTTCTTATCAAAAGAGCGCTTATGTAGAAAGATCTCGAAAAAAGAAGACGATGGGGACAGAAACGAAATAGATAGTGTTATTATGTTGTGAAAGTAAGGAGCCAGTCATTTACAAAAAACATTAACTGACTGTATAATGTTAAAGGATAGAAAGGAGTATAGGTAAATATACAATACTGAAATTCTACTTTCTTTGACTTTTGATGATTAACATCATTCAGAAAAATAAATGATATGCTTCGTTCGGAAATCGAACCCATGATATGATAACTGGTTATCCAGACCAGTGGTCTAACCATTGAGCTATCGAAGCACGACTAACATATCATTTATCTTTCTGAATGATGTTAATCATCGAAAGTCAAAGGAAGTAAAATTTCAGTATTGTATATTAAGTGACTGTGTAAGAAGTGAAATAAGTTTCAGTTTATCCAGAGCATTCAGTATTTATTCACTTGGTCGTGGTGAGTGAATTTTTCGGAAGAATCAATCAGCAAAAGAAAGTAGGTCGAATATCATCTTCTCAGCTCGATGATTCTGGTCAACGGATCCGGTCGAAACCCACGGGTAGTGGCGTATTCTCTAACCGATTCCCGCTGATTGCTGTGCCATTCTTGCCGGAAGCGATGGGAAAAAAAATACTGTCACAGGATGTCAGTATTACGGCTAGAAAGTCATCATACCAGGAACCAATCTTTTCTAAAACTTTTGCATTCACGGAAAAATACACGAAACTACATGATATCGCACAAGATAGTAAAGTAAATGGCAGGAAATAAGAAGGGAATACATTGTATCCATTACAAACACACTGGAAACACGCCGTATCCGACCGTCCACAGAAGCCATTAAGTTATCTCAAGAGGATCTTTTCATAACCTCATTTATTCTATTGCATGCGTGTCCTTGAGATACTTTTAAAATACGACACATTCCAGAAATCATGATAAAAAATTATTTTTTATCCAAGTCGGTCTAGAAGTCTCCAAGAATACCCTGATAGTAATGTAGAGCCTGAAAAACATCTTTAACCCTAGGAACCTCAAGCCTTTTCCCGCGATTTACTAGTAGTATAGAGTTTTCTATCGTGATTGTTTTCTTGTTGCATCAGTGTTTTGATGTAAATATGATATTGGCATATGCAGTTTGAATAAAAAAACTATCAGATGGACTATTTCTTTTTATTTCGAACAAGTAATACAAAAGATACATTTTACAGAATGCTCGTTACAAACAAACTCTGAACATTTACAGCATTGATTAGACGCTTTCTTATCCTTAGAAAAATGGCAAAATGCGCATCCAATTAAGAAAGAAGACGATTCATTGAAGTCCTGGTATAGAACTGAATTCTCCTTTTGTTCTTGTTGTACATTTGCTACATGTGAAAGATGTATGATTATATCAATGGCCTGTAATGAACAAAAAGAAGAGCAGTTAGTTCCTTTTTATACTCGACATTATTATATAAATTGTGAAAATCCTAGACGTTTTCAAAAATTAAAAAAAAAGGATAAAGTATCTCCGTTGCATTTTCAGGTTTTTTTGTGGGTCAAAAATGACCCACTTGGGGCTTCTAGGGTAAACTAGACCTTTTCCTAAAAATGTTTTTAACAGTCTCAAAACTACCTTATCAATACGATAAAGTCTCAAAAAGATCTTTGAGGATATTTTGCATAAAGTTCCTTTCAACCATTTCAGATTCACCTTACGAATAAGACAGCCTTCAAAACATATTTAAGAGTGTCAGTGTAAGTATAGATCCTTCCTTTAATCATGCCGATACCTACCTTCACTAGGGATGCAACGATGACGATCAATCAACGGTTAACCGTCACCGTTTCACCGGTCCAAACCGATAACCGTAGGTACGGTTACCGGTCTAACTACGATAACTGTAGGTACGATTTTCCGCCCGATCTTATAACAGATCTTACCTATGGCTAGCAGTGCAACTGCGACAACCGTATCCACGCTCACCTATCTAATTACAATAATTGTACGTACACTTATCAGTTCAAAACACTTATAACGAAAAACTGGACTTTTTTAAGAAAAATAACTGTATTCTTATAAGGGTTGACGAAAATAAATCGAGAGCAAAGAATTCGAATCTGAAATCGACTTTTCTAAAATGTTTAGTTTTAGTTCTTCTCATATAACGTCTTTTAAGAATAAAATTTTCTAGAAGATGACTTTCACAACTGATTAAAGTAAAAAATGATTGCTTATCGTGGGTCCAGAAACCAAACCTGAATAGTGGAATCCAAATTTGAATTCATATTCTTAAATATTCAATTAACTTTTCGCAGCGCTAAATTCTTTCGTGAAAGTCGTTTTCTAGAAAACTTTATTCTTAAAAGGCGCTATATGAGAAGACCTAAAACTAAACATTTTAGAAAAGTCGATTTCAGATTCGAAT